CTCCGGACATGGTGCTCTCTAGGTCGTCCTGACATTATGATCAAGTTGCGAAAACAAGATTTAACAGTCTCTATACAAGGAAAAAAGATCCCGACCATACTAAAAGCCACATCATCTCGGCCTCCTTAGAAACGGGATAATAAAAAGGACAATAAAATGGAGACGATACAGAATATTTCACGATTATAATGTAGACACGTAAGAGAAGTGGTTTATACATATTTATATATAGTGAGGAATTTAAATTAATTTTTTAAATGGATAGATCAGCGAATTTCTACTTTTGAACTTTTTATACGTTTTTATTTGCTTTATATGTACACCAACATTCCAGTGGAGAGAGCTACTCAATTTATAGCACCCAGTTTGATATACTATCAAGTAAAGTTTAATTTTTTTTTCCAGTTTCCCCATTTCCAACACTTCATTCACTTCGTCGTCTCCATCCCTTGATGTACCAACCAATTTGGTTTCAAAGACTATTCAATCTTTTCCTGTGCCTACTGGTCCATTGATCTATGTTCACTCTGTTACTAGTCTTCTAATGACTCTTGTTCAAGGCCTTGTCCAACCGCCTTCGCCTGGCACTTTGGCTATCGTCGCCGGGGCCGCTTCTACGGTCGCTGCTACCTTGGCTTCTTTGTCCTCTAATCTGCTTTCAGCTAACCAGGCAAATGGGGTAGCCTCTACTACCTGTCAGTCGGCAACCAGTAGCACTCTTGCTAATGCTGCTTCCAGTATAGCTGTTGCGGCTGCAACCGTCGCGGCAACCGCTACAGGTATGATTGGCAACTCGAGAAAAGTATCTAGTTCTGGAGGAGTTGCTACTCCTTCAAGCGGACTAAATATGACTTCCGGAGCTGTAGCCGCCGTGACTTCTCAGATCCAGGGCATCACCACGGAGACTGTCGTAGGAGCAGTGGTACCTGGCACTTCAGGAGACGCTGGTCAGCTTACAAAGGAAGAGAAGCTAGTTATTTCTAGCTACACTGCGGCTCTCAGGAATGCTCAATATCTATTAACCGGGATCTTCAAAAAGTACATAGCTTAGCTTTTTATTGAATTACATAACTTTATCATTATTTGAGTTCGTTTGATAGTTAGGTTGTTACAAAATTCCACTGCTAGGTCTCATAATATCACTCGTAAAGGGTGAAACCTCCCAGATACCGTGAGTCTGGCTAACCATATAGCGATATATTTCTGCTAATCTATAGATTATACCATTTTGGTCTTCATTTATGCCGTCATCTGAAGCGATATTCTCAAACTTGTAATATTTAGAGCTTTATATTCCTAGGATACTAAGGCAATTTGGAGTTGGCAATTCTCTATATTTAGAATTTAGCGTTATTTCTTCTTTTAATTAGTTATATATTTAAAATGGATTAATATATGCTGTCTGACTAATATTATCGGGTGTCGCGTCACTAATGCAACTGGGAATTAAGAGAACTTATTATTATGAATAAGGTTTTATAATTGTCGAATCCAGAGGAAGTTGATCCATTATCAAGCTTAGGTTGCCATAAAATAATTGTGTGTTATGTTGTCGATTTTATGTTGGAGGTACTTGCCGCTTGTGGCAGGTGTTGGATTTAAAAATCAGCTAGCAGATCATACGAAAAAAACTGGACCTGTAATTGAATGATGTCAAACTTGCCATTTTGCTAATTACACTATGTCTGCAGTTAATCTTAAAATGAGAGGCTATTGAAACTAACCGACTAGGCAATAAATTGGATTTAAGTAATATCGGTAAGAAGTTACGTAAGAATGACTTATGTTTAATTAAAGTATCAAAGGACAGTGAAGGTGTTA